ACCACGCGGGAAAACTGACCCCAAATCAGTAGCTGGGGAGGTCCTAGGTCCCAGGGCAGAAGCTGCCATTGCTATTTCCTAAACAGTCTTGTGGTCAAAATTCCTTCTAAATAACCGTGTTTATGACCCTAGACCTAGGGAGAGTTTTTGTTTTTGTTTTATTTTGTTTAAGTGGGTATTAATTAATGCAGAGACACATTCTTGGTTGGTCCAAGTGTTAAGAATAAATGGAATTCTCAGTCCTAAATGGGGCATCTTACTCAACACCCCTATCCTGTTCTGGAGAGTAACGTAGAGATAATAGAGAGAATACCTGTAATGTTTTGGAGGTTCTGTGGGACAGCTCTAAAAGAAGTAACCCATACTAAGCTTTTTGTTTGATAGATAATAGTGTTCGGGGGTAAACCACCTTTAAACCACCTTTCTAAATGTACACATACAAAATCCGGTGGATATAGGAAATAGGGTCTTTGTTTCATATTTTTCAAGCGGCTAGTACAACTCAGACGCTTCTGATTTTACATAGAATAAAACGTATGCCATAAACGCATGCATCGCTTGGCATTGGCTCTCAATGGTTACAAGTGTGTGGCTTTCGACTTGCACGTGAGGACTCTGACCAGCAGGGAGCGTAGAAGCTCTAGAGCGCTGGAGCTAGGGACTAGGGGCGTGGCTTCTGCATCCTTGATGGATAGCTAAGGAAAGATTGCAGGCCAGGATGAGGCAATAGCTGGCGGAATGAGGAGGGCTTGAGACTGCGTGAGTGTGGGTGTGCCAGTGCATGAGCGATCAAGAGTAAGACCAGAGCCTTGAAGCACGCGTGGCGGACTAGGCCCGCGCTACGCTTAAAACAGACAGACAGACACTGCAAAATTGTGGCGCTGCCGGGGAGGGGCGACTCCTTTTGGAAGCCACTGAGCAGAGCTGCAGGGAGTGAGTTGTGCTGCCCCGGTCGCTGCGCTCAGAACGGAGAGACGGTGGAGGGCGTGACCGTGTGGTGCGATCCACGCGGGCTCCCGCGGAGCCCGAGGCGCAACTGGTGCGAGGCGGCTGCAGCGTCGCTCGGGCTGGCCACGCGCCCCCGGGGTGGCTTTGCAAGGCGGGGCAGCGAGTGCTTAGGGCCCGGCCTTTGCATGAAGCCGCTGGATCCTTCCGAGAAGCAGTGGTGGCAGCGGCGGAGCCTGGCGGCGTGCGATCGGAGGCGGGCGGCCCCGGGGTCCGCGTCCCCGTGCCTGCACGGCTGCAGACTTCCACATGGGCGGCAGCTGAGGCTGCCGGCGGCGGCGGGGAGCAGGGCGGGGGAGCGCGGTCCAGGCCGGGAGGCGCCGGCGCAGGAGGAAACGCAGGAGGCCCGGCCTGGGAGGCAGGCAGCGCTGCTCCACAGCCCCGGGCTCGCCATGCTCCTGTCCTCCGCCTTGGTGGTGTGGGAATGGCTGAACGAGCACGGTCGCTGGAGTCCCTACAGCCCGGTCGTGAGCCACTACATCCAGGCGATGGTGCGCGCGTCCCCGCGCCGGTGGCAGCGTGGTAGTTGGCCAGGAGAATAGCCGGCTTCAGCCCCACATTTTCTACCTCTCCCTTCAAGTCAAAACATGGGTGAGCTGCCTGCATCCCTAGTCTATCCCAGGCTCTCGTGGTAGTGAGATATGGGCAGTTTCTCTTACTGGTGTCTATAGCGTGGCAAATAATAATCTGGGAAACAATAGGCTGATGGATGTTTATTCGGGGAGAAATCACACCAGAAACAGATGACTGCCACAGGTTCCTGTCCCAAGATGCTCTCTATCTCCGACCAGGAAGCAAGAGAACAATAGCTTGGGTTGGGACCCAGTACTAGTACTCCCTGGTCACCTCTCACCCAATGGGCATAGTCAGTGCAATGGGCGGAGTGGATATCTCACAACAGGTGTCAAGGAGAGGTGTTGAGGGCCGGTGTCCTGATTATGCAAACACAGCTTCAGCCTAGCAGCAAGAGACCCCTATTGGCTCTTTGTGCAGGAACTCTAGGGTTTTGTAGCCCCCAAGCAATGCTTAGCAAGGAAGACATTGCTGAAGTCACTTGGCTGCTCACACCTTGGCTGACCTTGCTTTGTCCCAAGCACACTTGGGGCTACCACATGTGCCCCTTTTAACCTTACTGCCCTGGTTTTCCTCTATGGACCCAGCTTTCCCAATGTGTACTCCTGGGTGTAAGACTTGGGGAGCCAGAGGGATCCCCTGGCTCTAACTGAAGTCTAGGAAGAGAGAATGGAGCCAGGGCTAACATCCTAGATGTGGTGGCATCTACAGATGCCTCTGCTTGTATACTCCAGTCATTGAAGCAACAGGCCAGAGCAGATGGAGAGAGGAGGGGGAAGGACTGGGCTCTGGCAGGGAATCTGCTCCCTTTGTTCCCGGAGCAGGGAACAGACAACAGAGTGAACAGGCAACCTTTGGAATGAATGGAAGAATATCAGCTATACCTCAGACAGGAGATTGGCATCTACAATATATAAAGAACTGCAATAATTAAACCCCCAAATGGCCAGCCAATAAATTGGCTAATGAAGGAACAGACATTCTCAAAAGAATAACACAAATGGACACCAAAGATTTTTAAAAAGTGTTTAGCATTCTTAGTTACCAAGGGAATGCAGCTAAGCTACTCCTGAGTATATATTCAAAGTGCTGCATATCCTAACACAGAGGTTCCTGCATGTCCACATTCATTGATGCTGTATTCATAATAGAAAAGGAATAGAACCAGCCTAGATGGAACCAACAGATGAGTATATAATAAAAGTGTGGCACACATATACAATGGAATTTTATTCAGCTGTAAAGAAAAATGAAATCATGCAACTTACAGGAAAATGAATGAATATTGGAATTAGCAAAACTAAAATCCAGGTTTAGGCAGAAAGCCTGTATTCTCATCTTGCAGATTCTAGCTTATAAAGTATGTCTGTCTGTATGTATTATGTAATCTTACACACATGTATGTGTATGTGCATATATGCACATATTGCATGTATATACAGAGTAATGTGATTATAGGCTCTGATATCAGAAAAGAGAGCATGGGAAGGGAAAGGAATCGTCCAGGAAGCAGGGGAAAAGCACAAGTGAAATGATTGTGAAATGGAGGGTTTGTGCAAGGGAACAGTGAAGGGGTGAGGGGACAAGGGGGAATGAGAGGCAGGCAAGCAGAATCCATGTAAATTTTATCTGGAAATGGTACAATAAAACCTATTGTACCTGTGTCAATTATTAATTAAAAAATAAAGCTACAAAAATTGACAAGCATATACAAATGCCTCTCATGTTGTCCTTTTAATTTTTTTTTAAATAATAATAAGACTTTGGAAGCATTATAAATTTCCAGAAAAATAATTGAATAAGTCATGGAATTTCCATGTCATAATTCTGACTATTATGCAAGCATAAGTCTAAAAATATGTTTTTCTTTTCCTTCTTCCTCTTCCCTTTCCGGTCTTCTCCTCCCCCTCCCTTTGAGACCCAGTTGCAAAGTTCTCAGATACCTCAATACCTAGACTTTTTGCTTGTTCAATGGCTTCACTAAGGGGGTGTCAGCATCAAATTTTGAACCCAGAGGCACCAAGTTCAAGGTTTTTTTTTGTTTTTTTTTTGTTTTTTGTTTTTTGTTTGTGCTTATGCTTCAGTGGGATTTTTATAGTGTTCATAATACCTTGTAAAGTAAATTGGAAAACTATCCAAACTTTGCTCTGCTAAGAACTACAAGGCAAGTGAAGCATGGAAATTGCTCTGTAGCCTTTGGTTTTTGGATCCTGCCTGACACTTCGAAGATGAGCAGTTTTCAAACACTGACCAGCAAAACATTGGCTAAAGTTGCTTAGCTAAGACTTTACACTTGAGAGATGGTTTCTGTTACAGTGTTTGCTTTGTAATTACGAGGATTTAAATTCTGATCACCAGCACCCAGTTAAATTCTGAACACAAGCTATGCATGTTTGTTATCCCAGTGCTGGGAAGAGGAAGACAGGAGGAGCTCTGGAGCTTGCTGCCCAGCCAGTCTCACCAAGTTGGAAAGTTCTAGATTAAAAAAATAATAATAAGGTACAAAGCCATTAAGGAAGACACTCAGTGTTGACCTTTGGTTTCCATGTGTGTACGCAAGGGTGTGAGCACTCCCTCATATGCAGAGGAACACTCACACCTTTTATATTTAAGTAACAATGATCACCTTCAGCCATTCTGAGAAAAAAACCAAAATGTATTTGTATGAAGCTAATAAAAAATACAATGATAGAGATTCATAGACAGGAATATAATCTGATATCTGAGAAAATGAATAGATTATTCTTTGTTTTTTATATACATGCAATATGTGCATATATGCACATACACATACATGTGTGTATGATTACAGAATACATACATATTCACTTATATCTAACATACATTGTGGTAAAGTCTACATAACATGTCTTAATTATTGTAAGTGTGCACTGTAGTAGTGTTAATATATTCACAATATCTTGCAACTATCCCCAATATCTATGCCCTTGTCTATATCACCATTTCCCAGAGTGAACTCTGTATCTCCTAAACAACAACTTTTCACCTCCAAAGCTCTTGGTAACCTCTATTCTACCTTCTGTGCTTGTGACTTTGCCTACTGTACATAGATTTCCTAAGTGGGATTAAATGATATTTGTCACCTGTAACTAGCTAATTTCATTTAGTACAATGTAGTCAAAATAATCCATATTATAGCACATATCAAACTTGTATGCCTTTATGGCCAAATAATATTCTGCTTCATGTGTATACCCACATATCCTCTAGCTCCTGGTAGGCTGGCTTCAGTTTTCAAGGGACAGTGGGATTTCTAGGAGCAGAAAGTTTTTCAGTCTTTTGGAAAAGATCCCCAAATGTACACTGCTAACTTCCTAGTTACGGAGAGGATTCTGGAACAAGGACTACAAAGGGAGGGGCCTGATCTCATGCTGTTTGAGTTTACATAGCGTGGTACACATGTTCTAAGAACTTCTGCTCAACAGCTTCCTAGAAACTGGATCAAAGCACCGCTTAGTCCATGTACTCTGGGGGTAAAGTCTCATCACCACAGCCTACAGCTGCTGTGTTTCCGGCGGACGTCTGTAGAGACTGAAGAGGAGACAGCTTTGCAGGTGAGGGCAAAGAAAAGCTGACTCTCGGGAACTCTCCAGCTCCTTTTAGCTCTCTACTGACGGGGATGCATTAAAATATTCCTTTGAACATGGATAGAAATTGTTAGTGCTAATAGGTGATGAAAAGTATGTCTGGGGAGAAAGGAAGATTTCATTTAGTGAAACTTAGGCAGCTGTCATATATACAGCAATTTGATGGGATCTGTAAGAAATTCTTGATTGAATGGAGGCAAGTCTTATTATGAATTGGTAAATCCGAAGAGACTAAAAGCTTGCTATTTGTAGATCTGTGAGAGAAAATGTAGTTGAGGTTGGAAGTGTGCTAGTTCAGGTGGTATTTATTTGAGACAAGATATATACATGCTTGTATGTGTGTATATGCAAATATTATTTTGTAACATACTAAGATAGTCAGAATGTTTTGGACTACTAATATAAGTGAGTCTCCCTGTGTAAAATCACTATGAAAAATATGCGAACACTTAGAAAATGTGAACTACTTATTCAAATCCACAAAAACTATATTTAAGAACCTATCTATAATGCAACTATATTATCAATGACTTTTAATTTAAAAACATTTTGTGTCATATATATGAATGCACATAAAGGGTGACATGTCTGTATTTTATTCATGAATTGTTTTTTTTTTTTTTGATAAATTCCAAAGATTGAAGTGGTTTCATAAGGAGTTTCCAAATGCCATTTACAAGAGGACTTTACCCATGGCCAGCACTGGCAGCTCACCAATGTGTGTTTGCCCCCTTTTTCCCTGAACTAGTTGATAACATGTTTCTGTGGCAGGGTGCAAGTGCACATGTGCTGAAGCTGGTTCCTAATATGCTAGGCAATACTCACTATTATTCCTGCTCTACTCTGGCACAAAACTCCACTTTGCTTCTTGTTTGCATGAAATTTCTGAGATGCTTCTAGTGGAAATGTCAAATTGACCTCTTGGAATGCTACTGTTCCACTATTGTACATCTTACTGGGACTTGAAAAAGATGCTGTCTGGTAAAAATCCCCATGCTCCTCAACGCTTGGCTACTTTGTGTTAGACTCTTGGGGCTGCTCAAACCAAATTCCGTAAGAGAGCACACTCATAAACAGCAGCAGCTTTACTTTTGACAGATCTGGATGCTGGAAGGTGCAAGATCAAAGTGCTGTACTAATATCAGGCAATATGTTTTCTGATTCTGGGACACTGCCTTTGTGTGTCCATAAAAGAAGTGTCCATGAGACCTAGTTCCAAAGTCTCACTGCTCAGTGTATAAATAGTGGCTGTTAGAATTTCAACATATGGATTGAAGAAAGTCATAAATATTCATGTTGAATGAAGAATGAATCCTTACACCAAGTAAAATGAGCAATTGATTGGATTAATATAAATACTTCATAATTCTTTCATTTAATAGACTTTGACAGCCATCAACTAAATAAAAATTTATATTTTTGGCTTTTTTAATTTAAATTTGAAACAAAGTTGTTTTACATGTCAATCTCAGTTCCCTCACCTTTCCATCCTCTCCTATCACCCCCACTAAACCCCAGCCCATCCCCTCTTTACTCTCCAGGGAGAGTGAGGCCTTCCATTTGGAGTCTTCAAAGACTGTCATATCATTGGGGCAGGGCCTAGGCCCTCCCCCATGGGTCTAGGCTGAGAAATAATATCCCTCTATGTGGGATGGGCTCCCAAAGTCCATTCATATACTAGGGATAGATACTGATCCATTACTAGAGGCCCCACAGACTGCCCAGTCCTCCTAACTAGCACCCATATTCAGGGGGTCTGGGTCAGTCCTATGTTGGTTTCCCAGCAATCAGACTAGTGTGTATTAGCTCCTCTTTGTTAAGGTCAGCTGTCTCTGTGGGTTTCTCCAGCCTGGTCTTGACCCCTTTGCTCATCACTCCTCCCTGCCTCTAACTGGATTCCAGGAGTTTGGCTCAGTGTTTAGCTGTGGTGCCTGCTTCTGCTTCCATCAGCTACTAGATGAAGTCTCTAGCAGGGCGTATAGGATAGTTGTCAATCTCATTATCATGGAAGGGCATTAAGGTAGCCTCTTTACTAATGCTTAGATTGTTAGTTGGGTTTATCCTTGTAGGTCTCTGGGCATTTTCCTAGTGCCAGATTTCTCTTTAAACCTATAATGGCTCCCTCTATTATGGTATCTCTTCTTGTTATCCTCTATTCTTTCCCTGTCTCAATCTTCCTGTTCCTCATGCCCATCTCTCCCTTCCTATTCTCCCCGTCTCTTTCTCCTAACTCCCTCTCCCCTCCCTCCATGCTTCCAATTTTCTTGGGAGATCTTGTTAAAAAAGATGCACATTCATACAACAAGGACATCTGTTCAACTATGTTCATATTTAATTTTTTATATTCATGATTTCTAAGTAGTATTTCTGGAGTCCAAAAGGTTATAGTCAGAGAAATAATATCCTGTAGAGTATATGGTTCTCATAGGTCTGTCCAGTTACTAATCCTGAAATGTTGACACACATACAAAAAATTCACAATCTGATTACATATTACACTGTCAGCTCATGATAGTAATGGTAATATTTATAGATCACTACAGTGTTCCAGGTATTGTTCTCATGCACTCGTTAAATTACTATAAAATGTAGGGATCACGTACTATGATTATCTCTTATCATATCCATGAGGAACATGGGATACAGAGAAGTCATATAATTGTGCAATCATCCAGCTGTCAATTTGTTAAACCTAGACCTCAACTCAAGCGATTCAGAATTTTCTCTTAGGAACTGTGCTACTCTGAAGAGATGTCAATTTTTATCTGATAATGTGGTGTGCATTTAGGATGAGAAGAATAAACGATTTGAGGATGTATGCAGAGGAGTTCCCAGCAGTGAAGGGCAACTATACTCCATTGTCACAAGGTTTGAGTATCCACATCCCTTACCACAGGTCCACATAGTAACTCAACTTTTGACAGTATCTTCTCTTTCAAGATGGCATCCAGACACTGTTCTCCAAGTCTCGTTGACAGGGAAGTCTCTGTCTCCTACAGACTCATAACTGAATTTGAATCCAGTGAGGACTACTAGTTTGTTCACAAGATGGAACTGCCTGTATCCCACCTGGTCCTTTTGGAAGTGGCTTCTGTAACACAAATAATAAAAACCCAGAGATAGATATTGGGGTTCAAGGTGAAAGATCAGATGCAAAGCAGCAGCCGGCTAGTAGCTCTTACCTCTACCAAGGGATAGGGAGATCCTGTTCTCACAGTGACTGGAAACTAAATCTCAGAATCCAGCTTGAGACACTGGGCTTCTGTCTTTTATACACCTCTCTAGGATTGGGATTAAAGGCATAAATTCAGTTTCTCTTTTTAGACTGATTCACTCTCATGTAGCCATGTGTAGCCTTGAACTCACAGAGATCCATCAGTCTCTGTCTCCTGAGTCCTGGGATTAAAGGTGTGTGTCACTACTGCCCAGCTTCTATGGCTATGGCTAGATTTGCAATCTGATCCTTCTGGCAAGCTTTATCAAATCATAAATGTATTACAACAGGCTTCTTCTTTCTCTCCACCAGGGATCTGTGCATCTCTAGCAGTGTTCTGCTTGCTTCTAATCAATGGTAATCCATCTTTATCTCTGACTGCTCAGGTATCCTTTCTGTGAATTTCCAAAGCTCTTTCTTTGGTATCTTTTCTTATTTTGATTCTCTCTTTTACCAGCTTATACTGAACCACCTTACTTAGAAATTCAAAACAAGGAATTGAAGATAGTGTTAAAATAATAAAATAAAGAAAAGTCAGGGGTACTACAGCATGATGTTGTGTTAAAGAGATTTCCATGGAGCATTCCCATAGATATGATTAATAGACCGGGACTTAGTGGTTAAAAGAAAAATCACTTTGAAGAGGTGCAGATGTATTTCTACTATGGAACTCACACATAAAGCCCTGGGCTCTGTAATCAGCACTGAAAAAGAGTACAAGACTAAGTGAATCCTCCTGAGCCTACCTTTGGATCTGACTCTACTTCAGTGGTTCTGGTCAAGACATTCTGTGGTCGGGGTGTATTGCATGAGAAAAGAGTTAAAAAACAAATGACACAGAGAGGATGGGTTCAATTGGTTAAGAACCTGCAGCAGAAGCATGAGGTCTTCATGTAAGAAGCCAGAAACAACAGCAGAGCCTATCCTATTGCAGGGAAGGGAAAAGCAGGGGGATCTCTGGGGCTCATAGCGGAATTGATAAACTTCATTATAGAGCTTATCTCAAAAAACAAATGTCAAAGTCCAGGAGTTGGAGAAATGGATCAGTGGATAAAGTACTTACAATGCAAGCAGGAGGCCCAGAATTCAGGTCCCCAGGAGTCACAAAGCAGGTATTATAATCCTAGCATGGAAAATGAGGGGAGGAGACAAGAGACCCCAGAAGCTCACGAGGCTAGCCCGGCAGATGCAACAGGAAGATGTAAAAAACCTTGACTCAAACAAGGTTGTTCTGTGGTCCCCATGGACACTTCTGCTTGTACTCATAGCATACACAAACACAAATGTGAACATGCACATACATGGTGCTCACATGGGTTCTCATACACATATGAAAAGAAAAAAATAAGATTGAGAAAAGTTGCAGAAAATGCTCATTATCAATCTTTGGTCTACACACACATACACACACACACACACACACACACACACACACACATACTCAAACACAAAATCTACTCTACTTAAATTACTCTAATTAAAAAACTTCATGGGAGGAAGGGTCTTTCAAAATAGTTTTATTCAACCTCAAAAAGTTGACTCCTTACAAAAACAATCACCAAGTTTTCATCCATGGTTTATTATATGAATGGATGAACATGGCAGACACCCAGGTTCTTGTGCTAGTCACAAGGTAAACTTACAGTGAAACTGTAGTTTTTTTTTTTTTTAAGAAATGATTCAAGGCTTAGGGAAGGACAGAATTATTATATACAGGATAATTGCAAAACAAGTTGCAGGAGGTTGGAAGAATTGCAATAGAGATGTGTCAGACCCTATGATCTGCAAAGAGGTAGGAAGCAGATGTTCTTTTAGACAGTAGAGAAAGCGAGCCTTTGGAGAGTTCTCATGGCAAGGAGGAGGCTTCTCTGTGGGAGTGTTGGCTCAGGCTGAGAGTGGGCAAAAGTTCAATCATGTGATGAGGGCAGTATTAACTGAAGTTGGGTCAGGTTGGTTAACACAGACTTTGTTCTTACAGATCGATGAGGATGAACAGTTTAGTTGTTTATGACAAAGAAATAAGTAGAGCCATAGAGAACTTTGTGACATGGACTGAGCAGCAGTATCTATTAGGAATCAGGGAACATTTGACTTATTTTAGTGGAAGCTGTTAGAGGATGCTGCATGATGAGCAGAGGTAAGTACAGAAATTTGATCTGTATAGTTACTTTCTGATTGACTAATGAGGTCAGCTCATCATTTATGAAGCAAAAAATGGGGATTTTGAGGGTCTGTATTTATCACTGTCCTGGGTGAACAAGGAGGGCCCATGCAAGACCCATGTGAGATGGAGAGGATGATCCTTCTAGTGGGCTGCTTACCAAATACAAATTTCTTTTTTTTAAAAAATTAATTAACTAACTAATTAATTTACATCTAGACTGTAGCCTCACCTCCTTCCTCTTTTCCTGCTATCTTCCTGAGCTCCCTTCTGCCCCTCCCCATTCATCCATCCTAATCTGTATTAAGATGATTTCTTCAACCACTCTTTTTGCTGATTCACACTGTTTGGGTAAAATCCAGCATTGCCAATCCCTTGGAAAATTGATCTGTTGGCCTTAGCCTTTTGATCTGCCTTAACAATGAGCCCTATTGGTTTTTCCATGAGGAGCTGAGGCTCCAGATTACTGCTTCAATGGTTCCTGATTATGGCTGCATAGACATGTGTTGATTATTTTAGAGAAGAGCCAATGAGACTTTCATGTTATACTATCACTATGAAAGATTGTTCATTCCCTTTGGAAAAAAAACAAGCAATTACAAAGTCAAGCATATACCTTGTAGTTCTGGAAATGAAAACATTCTCATGAATATATAATTTTACTAGCATAATAATTTTATGCCTATGAACTGTAACAGGGCAAGTGTCCAAAAGAAGATTGAAGGATAAAGAAAATATGATTCATGCATACATGAATTCTATCCACTGATTAAAAAAATAAATACATCTACTGTTGAAGTATAAAAAACTTGAATTTTATTATTAAAATAACCAGTGTCAAAAATATTTAATATATCATATAATAAAAATGCAACACAATTCCAGTATCTATTTAATATATAAGCATATACTAAATAATTTTTTAATTGGTGTTTTTGTTGAAGGACAATTAAAGAGTTTGAAAGCTAGTGATGATTTCTTGGGTCAGAGGGTTAGATAAAGAGATTGATGGAAACAAACATTTTTTGTGTGTGGAAATGGTCTGCAATATTATTATAGAGCTAATTAAACAAATTCAGACATTTACCAAAACTCATAAAAGTATTAAATTTAAAATTGCTGAGTTTTACTATAAAGTACTGATAATCCTTCTACATAGAAAATAAATGCATCAAGGTTAAAGAATATTTATCGTCTATTTATCTATCTATCAACTATCTACCTACTCAACCATCCATCCATCTACCTATTAATTTTTTTATCTATGTGCAAAATTCGCAATCTAACACATTGTCGACTTTAGTAATTGTTTATTACAGCATTATTATAATCCACATGGAAGGGCTCAGAAGAAGCACCATTGTTTTTCATTTTTGTTGCCCGCATCAAGAAATGATGTGCTTCATTTAGGTATTAAGATAGATTGAAAAAATAAAATGAAAAAAATAACAAAAAGATAGGTTGACAATGAGCAAGCATAGAGCTGGGTGCTTTGTGGTATTCTTACAGACTACTATCTCATTTACTATGACCTCATTTACCACGTGCCAATGACACAGATAACCCATCCATCTTAATTCTTTTCAGTTTGTTTCAAACCCACAAGTGTTTGTATCAAGAAAAGTCACTCAGTGAACTCATCAGTGTATGTATCTTAATGGTGGAGTACTTGCTTAGTATACCCCCCCACATACCCCTATCAAAATTTGCCCATATATGCTTTGAACATATTTGTTAATTTCATGTACCCTTTATTTCTAGAATTGTAGATGTTATAAAAATGATAGCAAAATCTTCAGAAATATTTTCAAAGTTTGAAAAATTATGTTCATAATCATTTCACACAGAAGCACCTATCCCTTCTTCCACTTAATGAAAAGTTTAGTATAGGAGGCACCCGTGGAACAGTAGGAATATAGTTCAAGTTATGAACTAGAACTGCCCATTGCATCTGCTTGTCTTCTAGCTCTTAGTCTTTGACCCTTCTATTTGAATTTTTTGAAAATTACTTATGTGAGCACTATATTTACACCATCATTTCCTCTCCCTCTCCTTCCTCCAACTCCTGTACCCCATCCCAACTCTTTCTAAATTCATGACTTTTACTCTTTGATTATTATTACATGTATGCACATACACATACACACACTTGAAAATTTACAAATACAACTTGCTGAGTTTATCATAGCTGTTTAGGACTGACTGACCTCTTGGGATTGGATAACTTATCAGGAACCTCATTACTGGAGAAGACTGATTCCTCTTCTCTCAGTAGCCATTGATTATCTGTAGAGCTTCATCTAGGGAAGAAGCCTTCTGAGAATTCCTCTATCTATACTGGTATGTCAGTTGACATTATCATTTGTTCACATTTTATTTTGGTAACCATATTGTTGCGATATCCTGGGTATAGCTTTCCTGTCATATATTGTCTTAGTCAGTGTTCTATTGCTGTGAAGAGAACCATAACATGGCAGCTCTTATAAAGGAAAACATTTAATTGGGTCTTGCTTACAGTTTCAGAGATTTAGTTCATTGTGATCACAGTAGGGAGCATGGTGCTATGTAGACAGACATGATGCTGGAGAAGCAACTTAGAGTTCTACAACCAAGTCCACAGACTGCAGGAAGAGGAAGAACAAGCTATTGGGCCTGGCTTAGGCTTCTAAAACCCCAAATTCCTCCTCCAGTGTCATACTTCCTCCAACAAGGCCACACCTCCTAATCCTTTTAAGTAGTGCCATTCCCTGATGACTAAGCATTCAAATATATGAGCCTATGCTGGCCATTCTTATTTAAACTATCACATATATAGATGAGAGCACCTCATAACAGATGTCTTTGACATTTCTTAATCCTTTCTTTAGGATAAAGTAGCTGCCAAGATGCTCCATTTGCGAAATCCACAGATGCTGCAGGTGTTGGAGAAGTCCTTAAGGAAACACCTTCCTGAGTCTTTAAAGGTGAACATGGAACATTCTTGTGGAAAAAGAACTATGAAGTGTCTAAGGAAAAGGTGGTAAAGAGAAGGGACATTTACTGACCTGTGTTCTAGGATATTTAGTTGATATCACCCTGAGGCAAGGGAGGCATATTGTGCAATTTTAACTGAAGAGGGAATCAAAGCCTCATTAGACCATGCCATAGTGAGTGGTGATGTGATGATTGGCTCTAGGTGATATTTGCTGACTCAAGAGCATTATCTTTTGCTTACAAAGGAATTGTTTTATATAACAGTGGGTGTTTTCAAGCTGCCTTTTAGCTCATCATTACCCTGCCTCAGCCCCAAGTACCTACATTACAGGAGTATACCACCACACTTAGCTTGATCTTTACTAATAGGTACAGAAAAATGTGAGACAGAATGTAATTGTCTTGATAAATATGAAATTCAGCAAAGTAGGTAAAAAGAATTTGTTCAATTTGATAAAAAAAAGTGTGTAGGCATGATATATAATTGAAATCTTTCTATATAGCAAAGAAATGAAATATTTTGCTAAAGATGGATCACTAACCAATGATATCCCCTCTCCCTAATCCTATTTAATGAAACATTGGTGACCTAACCAGTATATAAGAAAGATAATTTAAAGTAACACATATTGAAGGGGGTGGGGAGGAATTAAAACGTAGTGTGTTCTCAGAGGTCATGGTCGCCTAGAGTCCACAAAAAAATCTTTTGGAAATTAGTTTAACAAGGTGAAAGGATTCAAGATCAATATACAAGTAGCACAACTTAATTCTATTTGTATACATTAGCAATAAATGAATAACTGGAATAAAAAACTTGAAGTTGTTACCATTTACAATAGCACAAGCTAACAAGCTAAAACAAACCAACAGACCAAACAAACAAAAACCCACACCAAACACTAAGTTCCCAAAGCATTAGATAGAGACGCCTGTGGGTTTACATTTTCTTTTGTTAACCACTGGTATACCTGGATTCTTCTGTACAACAGAAAGAAAATGTATTTAGTACAGTTATTAAAATGATTGTGAGGATGAAAAATATGGACTTTATAGTATTCTATTAACTTACCCAGATGCCCTGACAACCTTTATAGCTGTCATTCATAGACTAAGACACATGAGCTTCCTGTAATTCTGTCACTGCTTCTTCTGATGAGACAGGGAAGGTATTATTCAAAATAGAGTTTATGGTCAGGTTTAAATATCTTTGATCAAAAAATTCATTGGTCAACACTGCAGCAGCTAAACAATTCCAGGTGCTGGTGTGCTTGCATACAAAGTGAATAGAATCAAGAAGTCAATATTTCTGTAGTCATTACTAATCAGTATTCACTGAAGGTAGCAGAAAGATGAGTGTATTGTAGTTAGAAACTCTCTCTCTAAACAGTGAATATAGTTTATCACACATGCCAACTGTAATTCATCCTAAATATTAATTATTAGGCAGTTATAAAACATTATTGTGTAAATTTCTGTTTTTGACATGGAGATATGTCTTTGTACAGTATATGTGATATCCATATACATTAGGAAATCCCATTGTTTATATAATTATATGGGCATATGCTTATTGGTAGAAAATTGAAATGTATAGGACAAAATTCTATGATGTGAGACTGAGTGATGACTAAAGTATATTCATATTTAAGTATTATAATAGTTTCATGATTTTATTTAAAAATTTACCTACTTCAGAATAATAAAGTATTACTTGAAGATTGGGCTAGATATCATATGATTAAACACATGAATTTTATAGGAGTCAACTTTATTCTGGTAACAAAATCAAGGCTTTTTTCTGTCCCTATGTAATGAGTTAACCTTTAAGTGTGTTGAAATATTTAGGTTTATGGGACTGTCTTCCACATGAACCAGGGAAACCCATTCAAACTCAAGGCTCTGGTGGACAAGTGGCCTGATTTTAATACAGTGATTGTCCGTCCTGAAGAGCAGGTAAGCTGTATCATGGAATGGATATAATTCTAGGTTTAAAATTGCTGTGTGTCTAACATGTCCAGAAATATGTAGGCTACAAGGTAACAGAGATAAACTATGGTGATGCCAGGGTCCCTGTGCTTGATGGAAACAAGATAAGCACATGTACTCTAAACTAAAAATACACAAAGGGAGATAAGAGATGAAAACAGCATGGGATCAAAACCAAAAAAAGAAGAAATAACTAATAAATAGTCAGTAACACACTCTTATTTTATAATAACCTCAAATGTACATAAATTAAGTTGCTCAATGTAAAGGTGAAGAGAAGATAAATGATTAAAAGAAGCAAAGACACAATATAAGAGACCATACTCACTTAAAATACAAAAACACACTGGATATGAACAGGTATAAAAAGATAGCTCATGGATAGACATATAGTCAAGAATTTTCACATGGATCAAGATGTCTATTATTGGATTATCATTATACATATACTTACATTATACATATAAATACACTTAGATTGAATACTAGAAACATATAAAGCCAATATTAATGAACACAATGAGAATAATAGATATCAATTCAATAACTGTAAAAACATCAATAACCCACTTCAACAAGGAGTAGATAGGAAACAAGGCATAAAATTGTTAATAAAACATTCTATTTGGATTAAATTTTAGACAAAGCAGACCTGGCACACCAGAGTTGCCTTCAAACAACAGCAGAACATGTTTCTTGTACATGTGAAAACACTCTCTACTAAACTACTAAACAAGTCTGGGCAAACTTAGGCACATTGAAATCATATCTAGAATCACTTTAGACTATGGTGTTCTGAAAACACATATTAAAGAAGCAGTTCTCAATGAAGTTCAGAACAAAAATAATTCTATGTGGGGAATAATGATCCCGTATAAACAGTTAAGTTACATCTCAAGATACTAGAACATAATAGATACAAAATTAGATGGCGGAAAGAAACAGCAAATACCAGAAAAGAAATAGACCAGATAATACAACATCTACTGAAGGAATAAAAAAAAAAAGTTAATTTTCTGAAAATATAAACAAAATTTGCAAATTCTTAACTAGTTTAAGGAAAAAAGAGAAGATGCAAGTGAATAAAGTGAAAATTAATGCAAAGATACTACAGCAGACACCATAAATGAACTGAGTCATAAGGAACTAATATGAATATTTCTATGCCCAAGGCTGGGTAATCAAGAGTGTATACATAAGATGTATCTTAAAAAGATTGAATGAGAAGCAAATAGAAAGGCTGAAGAGACCAATAGCAAATAGAAACTCAAGAAGCAATGACAACCTCCAAATGACCTCTTCAAAGAGAACACAGAGAGATTGTAAGAGCCAGAAGTGGTGGATTACTTCGAGGAAACAGCATCTTTCATACATAACCAGGCTGATACACATATGAACTCACTGAGACTGTGACAGCACACACAAGACCAGTACAAGTTTAAACCAATCAAAACCCCAGCACAGAGAAGGAGAAGCACGAAGTCCCACCTCACTTGAAATTGATACTTGGTGGGAAAGGAAAAATCAGTTTTTTCCAATGACATGTCAGTGGGTATATCATCCAGGGCAGGCTCCTGGTACTTGACCAATACAAAACAAGCTCCACATCTTTTGTTTTGTTTTTGGATTTGATTATTGTTCTCTCTCTCTCTCTCTCTCTCTCTCTCTCTCTCTCTCTCTCTCTCTCACACACACACACACACACACACACACACACACACAGTCTCTCTCAGTTCTTTTGAGACATGGTTTCTTTGTGTGGCTGTCCTGGAACTAGCTCTGTAGAACAGGCTGGCCTGGAACTCACAGAGATTCATCTGCTTCTGCCTCTCAAATACTAGGATTAAAGATATGCACCACCACTACTTGGATTGTTGTCTCATTTTGTTCTTGTTAATTTGTTTTGATTTTCATTCTTCTGTGTGGCTTTTATTTTCCCTTTGAGACAAAGAACGAACATGCAGTTAGGGGAAAACCTGGAAGGAGAAAGAATGTAATCAAAATATATTGTATGAAAACATTCACAAAAACCAAACAAGCCAAAGCATAGGACAAAATGGTTTAATACTGAGTACAAGAAACATCCCAAGAAGGGTCAGAACTAGTACTCATTTTTCTATTTTGCTATTTTGCTTTGTTAACGTTTTTCAGATAGCATCTTTCCGTCTAGCATTCTGTAGCTCAGGCTGTCCCAGATTATCACCACCATCTTATTTAATTCTTCTTCTTCTTCTTCTTCTTCTTCTTCTTCTTCTTCTTCTTCTTCTTCTTCTTCTTCTTCTTCTTCTTCTTCTTCTTCTTCTTTCTTCTTCTTCAGGGTTTCTCTGTATTGTTTTGGAGCTTGTCCTGGAATTAGCTCTGTAGACCAGGCTGGCTTTGAGCTCACAGAGTTTTGCCTGCCTCTGCCTCCTGAGTTCTTGGATTAAAGGTGTGCACCACCAACACTTTGCTGTCCCAAATTCTTGATCCTCCTCTATTAGCCTCCCACATTCTTGGATTACAACCTGTATCACCATACCTAGATTATTACTGCTTATTACAAATTATAGACCTAGAAGAATTCTTCTACATATATTTTATGAGGACACTATCACCTTCACATTAAGCCATAAAAGATAAGAAAACCATTGGTAATTTTCTATAATGAATATTAATACACAATCAATAAAATATTAGGAAGCCAGTTCAATGACTTATCAAAAAGACTGTATTCCATGGTCAAGTGAAGCGACTCACTATCGTGCGAGGCTGGTTTATCACGTGCAATCCAGAGGCTGTGGTTCATCAAAGCTACACATGGCCATGTCAGTGGATGAGAACAAATTATTTGATACTAATACTCTTTTTTGACAAGACTTAATAGTTCACATATAGGAGGAAAGTACCTCAATACAAAAATAGAACCATTATTTGATACTGTAATCCCTTTTCTAGGCATATATAGAAATATTTAACAAATCAGTGCTGTAAGTACCTATATAGCCATATTTGTTGCAGAATTATTTATAAAGCCTAAGAAATAACCCTGGAACCCACAGACAGATGAATGGGAAACTGATATCTGTATACAATGAAATATTATTAACAATAAAAGAAAGATATCCTATTTTCTTCTAGAATACAGATTAACCTGAAAGACATTGTGGTGAGGTAAATGGGCAGAAAAATTATAATCTCACTTACATGTGAATTTTAAAATTTAAAAATTTAAAAATTTCTACATATCTGAAAAAGTTTTTCTATATATCTGAACAAAACCAAAACCCATGTAACTGATGGTGATGAGCCATGAGGTCCATGCCAAAGGCATCAATAAACAGATATGTAGACTAAACAAGCCCAAAGATCTAATGTGCAATATGCAATTTTACTGTATTATACGCTGCTAAATTAGTTGACTTCTTGCTACTATTACCAAAGAAAGAATAGTAATTATGTGAAATAACAGGTCTGCTAAATGGCTTCAGTATATGAAATATTATTGTTATTATGTATGTATTTCAAAATATCACATGCACCTTAAACATACACAATAGCATTTATTGAAAAACTCACCAAACAACATACTAAATTTTAAATTACTTAAAATGTAAAAGTGAATAACATCTGTTTTTCAAATGTCATGATTAGATGGATTTTCAGTTGTAGTTTTGCCTATCTGCAAGGACATTTCTGTGCAATATTTTTTGGCTAGCTGGCCCTGGATGAATATTTTTCCTTCAGTCCTTCCCTTTATCTGCAAATTTCCAAGTTGTCATTTATTAACCTTGAGATTTTGTCAGAAATGAATGGTTTTTTGTTTTTGTTTTTGTTTTTTTTTTTTTTTTAAGAGTGGTGCTTTGTACTTTATGGTTTAAAGGCATATTTTGTTTTTGTATGGCTTTATTGTGTATATGGACTGACAGCTGGGGAACCTGCATGGAACCAAACTAGACCCTCTGAATGTGGGTGACAGTTATCTGACTTGATCTGTTGCAGGAGGGGGGCAGCAGATGGTGCTACAGATGGGGTTGGGAAGGGAGGAGGCGGGGGGGGGGGCAGGAGAAGGGGAAGGAGTGGGAACTGAAGTTGGTAAATAAAGTGAAAAATAAAAATAAAAAAATAAATAAAAGTTCAAATCCAAGTTTGGCTTGCAATTTCAATATTGTTGTGTTAAAAGTATGTCTATGGACCAAAGAGATAGTTTGCTGTGCAAGTTTGAGGACCTGGGTTCATATCCTAGAAGGTCCATGAAGCTCTATACAGCAGTGCAGGTTTGGAATCCCAGCATTTTTACAGAGAGGTGGGATTTGGAGACAAGAGAATTCCTGAAAATTTGACAGAGTCCTGTGTCGAATAAAGTGGAAGATGAGGACTGACACTCAAAGATGTATTCTAACCTCGATGCACATCCCACATCCCTGCACCAACACTCTGTACACAACAAGAGAAAAAAAAGCACATTGTTTTAAGGCTGTTTGGAACAAGAAGACTTATAGGGTCTTTGACAGTATCACTTTTCTTCTTTTTCCCGAGTATGCTTCATAAACTTTCTTCAGTTGACTTTAAATTGTAATGGTACCTATACATAAAGTTTAATAGAGTTTAATGAAAAAAATTCAATGAATAGAGTGGAGTTTTTGACTTGGGTTCATGATGTTAATAATTAAGTGCTGCTGACGTTTGAAGAAAACATCCATGCTAAAGTTTAATAAGTGAGTTTGAAGATTCAAGCAAGGATGGGAAAGGAGTTCCTGAACCCCCAGCCTTGACTGATGCTAGTGGCTGCTGCCAGAAGGAGAGCCACTTCTTTTTGGGCAGTGACCATTGGGTGACCCCAAATCCATATATATTTGGATGTCACTAATTGAACTTAATGTTTTGTTTTTTTTAAAAAAAGAGAAAGTGAAATTGGAAAGGAGATCTATTGGGAGTGGTCTTGAGGAGTTTGAGGAGGGTTTGGGGGTGAGTATGACCAAATGTGTTGCACATACCTATGAAAAATTTTAAAGACTAAGTTTTAAAATAATAGGAAAAAGATTGTAATGAAGTTATGAGAAATATTGAAATTATACGGAATAACCAATTGTATTTATTCTCTATTGCCCAACCAAATAGGAGATGGCAGATGACCTTGATCCCCATACCAACACTTACCAACTCTATTCTAAGGATCCTATGAACTGTTTGGAATTCCTTGGCACACCAGAGGCTATCAACTGGAAACAACATCTGCAGATCCAAAGTATGGGGACAAGAGTGTGTGCTAGCTGCTCTCCACCCTGGACACTTCATCCTGAAATCATTTTTTTTTCTTTTTGTAAACTTCAGAATCCCAACCTAATGCACATTCCTTGGTCTGGCTTCCACTACCTCTATGATGGAACCAATTTCAAATATTACAAGCTATGGCATCAATAGAAGCAGTGACTAGGGAGTTATTGGTTAGCTGAATGTATTTTTAAGACATATTCAGGAGTCCTCAAGACAACTCATTGGGAGACAGAGCTTGACCTCTGACCTTCTGTTCCTGGAGCAAGAAGGACAGCTTATTGTGGCATGGAGCACTTGTCAGGACACCAAGGTTTATATCTAGTGTGGTTTTAGGTGTGCCCTCTGGAGTTAAAGCCACAGAGAAATCCCCACCTCAGCCTGCAAGTTGTGAATTTTGAGCAAATGACCTTGCTATTGCTCAGTGTTCTCATGTGTAAAAATTCTGATACTGAAAGATCCTAAAACAGAATCAATGAGAGGTTTGAATTAGCATAACATTAAAGCCTGGGTATATAACAAATTCAAACAAGATTGGCTATTATTTAATATGCTCCTGTTCATAGAGACATAGAGAGGATTTTTAGTATTCTGCTGAGCACCAGAGACATGTTCAGGGAATAACTTAAGGATGAACACATAGGAACCATACATAGGCAAGGTTTTCTGACTAAATCTTATATACATCTTCAGACTATTTCTCTGACCTGGATGGGCAATTACTTATTCCCTGTTTCACTCTCTTCTAGGTTCACAATCCAGCCTGCATGAAGCAATAATGGGCCTTGCAGCTGCTAAGCTGGTCAAAGTCAAGAGAACACAGTGTGTTCTCTACATGATGCCCCAAACAGCAAAGAAACTGGTTCCGTCCCTGATGGTGGATACAGAGAACTTACATAATAAATCTGGTAGACCCCGGCCCATGTGAGTTGGATTGATAATATTCTGTTCCCCTCCAGACTCTCACTACAGCAGCTCCATAACTTCTCTACACAGGAGAATTATTTAAAAAACATAACATGGACTGAGTGATCTATCTCTTCAAATGTCACAAACAGTTTGGTAATTGTTTTCAGTTTTTTTATCTGTGCATACATGTATGTGTTGATGTGTTTGTATGTATGTGCACACACATACGTAGGTCAGAGGATAACTTCAGGCGCTGTCTCCCTTGGGCACCATCCATTTTCTGGTTTTGTTTGTTTGCCTTTTGAGATGAGAACTCTCATGGGAATTTGTCTGATTAGGACAGGTTGTTTGGCCAGCCAGGTCCAGGAATCACCTGTCTCCTGTTCACCAGAGCAATGATTACAGACTTGTACTGCTATAGCCAGTTTTTAACAAGCATGGTCTATGGGGATCATATCAAAGACCTCATGTTCTGTGTGTAGTAAGCACTTAAAGGATTGAACTATTCCCTAATCCAGTCACAAGTTAATTATTAGCACATTTTAAATGAAGTTGAAACTCACTTTGGTCTCCATAAGACAAGCACTCACCCCTTATTGGCCATCATCTTGTTCCTGTTTCCCTCCCACCAGCAGCTCTGTCCTTCTGCTCCGTGATCCTCATATGTTCACACATGCCTCTGGGGCACTGCATTTACTTTTTCCTTGACCAAAATTTCCTTCACACATTCTCTCTCTCTTTCTCTCTCTCTCTCTCTCTCTCTCTCTCTCTCTCTCTCTCTCTCTCTCTCATTCTCATGCATGCCTGCTATTGTTTTTTATAGTCTCATTTTTATTTATATTGGCAATTCTTTTCAGAACACCCCATCAAAAGTCACTCACAATTGTTATGAAAACTATTTTTATTTCCTTTATTGTACTTTCATTAGCTTAAATCAGCTTATTTTTAAAAATATATTCACTTGTGTGTTGCTAAAAGCCTTTCACAATGTTTAGATATTCATAGAGGTAAGAATATTGAGTGAGTGAGTGAGATGTCTCAGTGGGTAAAGGCATTTGCTTGAGTTCAATCCTTGGGACCCACCCACATGGTGGAAGGAGACAACCCACTCTCACAGAGTGTCATCTGACCTCCACTTGTGTGTCCCATCAATCAATAAATAAATGTATTTTTTTAAAAAAGAGCAAGAATCCCTTTTGTGTTGTTCAGAGAGAAAGACACACACACACACACACACACACACACACACACAGAGAAAGACAGAGAGAGAGAGAGAGAGAGAGAGAGAGAGAGAGAGAGAGAGAGAGAGAGATCCACAATGGGCAATGGGCAGAACAGTACCCAATACATAATAAGTTCTGGTTTTAGAAATGAAAGTATAATCATGTCATTTCCCCATTTTTATCCTGTGCCTCCCTTGCTCCTTCTCAAATTTATAGATTCACACACACACACACTACAACATTCTCAGACTGTTTGATGTTACTTGTATGAATATGATTACATGGCTGACCAATAGGGTTGGATAAACAATTAGGAGGCTCATCCCTGGAGAAGGCTGTTTCTTCTGCTCTCAGCAATTGTTAGTTTCCTGTGCTTCCTTATAGGTATGGCCCAATGAGATTTTCCCCCTTCCATGTTAGCTTGTCAGTTTATGTTGGTTCTTAGTAACTATGTGTTTAATCAATCCACTTCACAGAGAAATTTTTTTCCAGTTAAGAACATCTAGGTAAAGTGTTTGCTTCCATTGATTTCCAGGGTAGCACAGAACAGCACTGAAAGCTGATGGGATGGGAACTTGATGAGCAGGCGCTCAATCCCAGGCGCCTTGCCCCTGGTTCAGTGTGCCTGAAAGCACTTTGCTCTCTTTGCAAAGGGCATTAGAACATAGAGAGCACATTCCCACCCTGAGCAGCACTGGGTCCACTTGTCAGGGGACAGTCAGGACAGGAGACTAGGAGACTCCCCCCCTTTTTATGGTTCACAACAAAAAATAGGCTCTGATGGTGGAGTGGCTCTGATGAGGATAATGAAAGGCATGGTTGTGACCAGAGTCTGGAACATCTGGTTATTCATCCTGAGAAAAGTGTTTACCCCATTACAGGAGTCTTCACACTTTAGTATCCATAGAAGGCACTGTCTATATGCCATACTGTTGACCCTTTGAACTTCTATTTGATCCTGAATTGCCTCAATATGGCAGCCAAGGACTCTCAGAAACCAGTATTGAAGATTTCATAATATGAGGTTTAGGAAGAAGGTTTAGTCTATAAAGTGCCTTCCATGCAGGCCTGAAGATCTGAGTTAAGATCCCTAGCATATCCAAAAGAAGCCAGATGTGATTGTGTGCCTGTTATCCTGGTGCTGATGTAATAGAATTGAGAAGATCACAGGGGAATCATTGGACAGTTAGTGAATGAATGATCTGTGGGTTCAGTGAGTGAGGCTGAATAAGACTGAGAAAACCACCCAACAATCATATGTATGTATATGTATATAAACATATACATATATGTGCAAGCGTGCACACACACACACACACACACACACAATTCCATGTTTCTAAAATCTTGCTTTTTTACTTGCTAGCATGTGCTTTTGAGTACTTATTTTTTATTTGTTCATTTTTCTTATCTATGGGACATCATCTGCTCTATTTCCTATGGACACATGGGTCACAGCTATGTTGCGAACAGCACTGAGTTTCTGTGAAGATTAATTGCTTATGTTGCCCAGTCCTGGTTACTTATAAGACAAGACCTCTTAATAACACTAATTTCTGTCTTCTGATTGAATAGCTATTAACTCATCCCTTCTGAAGAGGACAATAGGGGGACAGAGGGGCATTAAGTTAGCTGCTTACTGTCACATGGCTAGCCAGACACTTCTGAGTTGATGCATACCATCACCGCAGTTCTCACAGCTCACAGCAGAGTTTGTGGGGAGGGACAAAAACTTCACTGTGCATGGTATTTAGGACTGCTGTTTTTCTTTTTTTCTTCAACAGCAACCAAGAGATGTTTAAGCTCTCATCGCTGGATGTTATGCATGCTGCCTTGGTGGATAAATTCTGGTATTTTGGGGGCAACGAGAGGAGCCAGAGATTCATTGAGCGCTGTATCCAAACCTTTCCTAGCTCATGTCTTAAGGGACCTGAAGGGACCCCTGTATCCTGGGCTCTCATGGACCAAACAGGGGAAATACGAATGGCAGGCACTGTGCCTGATTACCGGGCACAAGGTCTCATCTCTCATATCATTCACACTCAGACCCTGGTTATGGATGAACTTGGCTATCCCGTATATAATCATACAGACAGAGCGAACAAAACCATACAGAAAATGAGTCATACTCTGCAGCATGTTCCTATGCCCTGTGACTGGAATCAGTGGAATTGTGTACCTCTGTAATTCTGGTGCAGAATATTAGGCTGTGTTGGGTAGGCTATAATAAAGCTGGAAGAGTGAGTGATAGACATAGAGAAAATACATATTGTAATGATCAATAAAGAAGAGGGCACTGTTTGCCCTCTTGGAGGAATGGGCTGAATGTCCAACAGTATACTACAGTCCCTATCCTCAAATTGCCTCTTAGATCCAGCAGATGAAGCATGGCCAGACCTCTCCCCCGAGCCACTGGCTTTGTTCAGTGTTATACACTCTGGATGTCAGTGACACTTCTATTCTGCTGCACATTACTATCCTCATGTGAATTAATGCCCATGTGTCAGGGTATGGTGCTGACTTGTGAATACTATATGCTTTTCTCTCATACTATTTCCTTAGTTTAGGAGCTTGAGTGCTCTTCATAACAGGCACTTTGAGTGGATTGCTTTACTGGTAGACCTTTGATTTTTATTTAATAACCATGTTAAATATTACATGAATAAATATATTATTCTAGTTGGATATGGTATCTGGAAGACTAATTTTTAAGAAAATTTATTTTTTGTGTTAAAGGTGTACAACATGAGGCTTTGAGGATAGAAATAGACAGTAACAATGTTTTCTATAGTGAAACAAATTTGCATGTCTATCACCTCACATATTTACTATATTCTCATTTGACATTAAGAGTATCTAAAATCTCGGGGCTAGAGAGATGGCTCAGCAGTTAAGAGCACTGACTGATCTTCCAGAGGACCCTGATTCAATTCCCAGCACCCACATGGCAGTTAACAACTGTCTATAACTTCAAGATCTGACATGCACACACAGACATACATGCAGGCAAAACATTAATGTGCATAAAATAAGAATAAATAATAAACAAAAGACTATTTAAAATCTCATACTGAATCTCAATGTTATTATGATATTCATGGTATAAGAAGACCTATAGATTTTCTTATTAACATGTGAGAAATTTTGTCACCTCATCCATAATCTTGGTAACTAGCATTTTGTTCTCTATTTCTGTATTTTTAAAAATTGCTTTAAATTTCATATATAAGTGAATTTATGTGTTAGTTTTTCTATGCCTAACTTATCTCACCTGGTATATCACCCAATATTCGCTTTATGGAAAATAGTAAAAACTTATTCTTGTAAAGGACAACATTATTACATTGTGATATACATTTTTCATGCCATAGTTTCTTTTTCCATTTGTCTATCAGCAGACATTTAGGTTATTTCCCTGTCTTAGCAATTTATGAATAATTCCACAGAGAGTTTGTCTTTATGAAGTTGTATATATGCCCCAAAGAAGGACTTATAGAGAACATGATAGTTCTGTTTTTTCATTTCTTCTAAAGTAGCTTTACAATTTTCCGTAATAGCTGTACCAATCAATGGTCCTACCAACCATGCAAAAAAAGTTTCCCCTTTCCATATCCATTCCAACAGGTTTTTTTTTTAGTCTTTGAGAATTGCACTCATATATACAATATATATATTGATCATATCTGCTCCCACTGTCTCAAACTGCATTCACACCCACCCCAACACATTTGCTTCCCAAGCATCAAATAAGTTAAGACTTGTCCATAGAAAGAGGAGAGAGGACACATTTTTGTTTTTTTGATTGGCCACATGTTTAAGTAAGTGGGTTGAGGAAGACAGAAGTGGAGGGGTCTGTTTCTATAATTGGGGTAAAGGAAGACCCCAGTCCTTTTTTGTAGTCAGCTTTTGTGATTTATGGAATCCATGGGTTTACCCTGTTGATGGTAACTAAACAATTCAGTGCAGAGAAAGTCAAGGCTAATCACAATGGCTTCAAACTACAAGTAATGGGAATGAGAATTAATGTGCCAAGAAAACAAAGAATTCCAAAAGAAGACAGAGAAAAATATGTGCAATCTTACACAGTGCCAGTCCATTGACTGAAAGAACATACAAACTCTTGACTTTCTGTGTAGGTAATAGCTACTCGTTTCTCCGGTCCCCTAGTTTGAGCATCTTTTCTTTCCTTAGCAGAACTCATGACTATCTGGGAAAATGGTACTGATCACAAGAATCTGGAGACTGTCAAACTTTCTTCCTTAGTTGTTTCCCATAGTAAAGTTTAGACTGAAAACTAACTTCTCAATGAGCCTTGTCTGTTCTTAGAAAGGTGGATCAAATGTTAATGTGTTGCCAGTTTAGAAAGAAAAGCCTTTGCTACCAGGAAAATTCAAATCAAAATTGTAACATGTTTACTTCTCACTCCAGTCAAAATTACTAGCCTTAAGAGCTCAAAATAGAAAATGGCAACAATGAAGCAGAGAAGGAACCCTTATACACTGCTGGTGGCAACTTAAACTAGTTCAGCCACCATAGAAATCAATGCGGATGCTTGTGAAAGAAATAAAAAACAACACCATTTGTTCCATCCATACTAGGGACATAGAGAATCAAAGCTTACTACAGAGATGCCCTCATATCTATGATTCACAATAGCCAAGGTGTGAATCAGAATAGGTAGCCATCAGTGAATGAATGGATAAAAGGAATGTGTTATATATACACACAACAGAGCTTTGTTCAGTGATACAGAAGAATGAAATTGCATTACTTGCAGGAAAATGTACAGAACTGGGTTGGGTCATCAGTGGAACAGGCAGGCTCTCAGACATAGGTATCAAGTATTTTCTGTCATGTAGAAGATAGATATGAGAGTAAAGAAAGAGAGGTATTATGAGGAAAGAGGGTAAAGGGAGAGGAGATAAGCAAGGGTAAAGGAGAAGGCAAATTTGACATATCATTTACTATTGTGGAAAGTCAAAATATATCTTACACATTATGGGAATATCATAATGTAGCTCCTTTGTGGAATTTTAAAAAAAGAATAAAACTTCTATGGACTCTATAAAATGAGATTAAGAGTTCTCTTCAATTGCTTCCTGTCTATACTGTTTCTTTTTGAGGAGATAGATGGGAGTAGAGGGGAGAGATTGTTACAGAAGCCTTCAATGTCTCTCATTCTCAAATGTGAATCTACAGTCATAGATACCACTGCAAAAGAAGTTTCCTTGACATTTACAGTCAGTGGCAGCATAGAATATGAACTTCCACATGGTTTATGGTGATAACATAGGGCATCCACATGACCTCCAGCATCCTTCAGAATGGACCATGAACCTCAGCATAGTCTCTGGCAGCAGTTTAGACTACAGACATCAAAATAACTCTTGGCCACAGCATAGACCACAGACATCAAAACAACTCTTGACCTTAGCATAGACCACAGGCACTATTATGGCCCTTGGCCACAGTACAGGCCATGGACATGGCCTCCAGTGGCAACACAGGCTGTGAACATCAACCTGACTTCAGGCAGCAGCACAGACCAAGGGCATCCACATGGCCTTTGGTGGTAAGCCAGACTATGGACATCAATATGGCCTCTTGAGGAAGCACAGGCCAAGAACACCAACACAGTCTCCATTGGCAGAAAAGACAATGGAAAATGGGTTTCTTACTGCTCTAACACTGCAGGCAAATCATTTCCCTTTCTGTCGTGCATAAAAAAGAGATATATTGAGCTCTATGAATTAGACCTCCTGTCTTGTGCTGTTGCTGATTTTTAATGGCAAAAATGGGAAGGAAGAGGGTATTGCCTACTTAACTGTCCCTTTCTGCTCTGCTGGCCTACCGTACCTTTGTTTGGCATACTAGTGGCAGGTGGGGCAAAGAGCAAGGTGATGTTTGGAAGAGGGCAAATGTTAGCCTCATCTTGCAGAGCCAATTCCTGCAGCATGAGATCAGTGAAGGAGGGAAGGTTTAGATTTCACTAGAGCTAACAACAAGAAGTTTTAGTCAATGTGCTTAGTGCAAGGTCCACATTTCCAGCCTCAGCTCAGTTAATTTCTAGAAAAGACACACCAAAGTCCACTCACTCTTCAGGTTTCCACTGAGCCTGCTGCATCAGTAGGAACGTTCTCATCCCAGAAATCGATTTTTTCAAAGACTGCTTGTGGAGACAGCTTTCCAGGTGAGGAGTTATCTCAAAGTAGCAGATCTGTTGGATAAAAGAGTCTGGAAGCCAAATGAACAACTTAAGAACTTTAGTTCATAAAATGATTGTGTGGGATGCATGGGCAATGAGTAGCTTTTAGCTGTTTGTTAAAATCTATCTATCATCTATCCATCCATCTATTTATCTATCTATCCATCCATCCATCCAACTATCCATCCATTCACCCATCATTTATCTGTTTACCTATCATCTATCTATCTATCTATCTATCTATCTATCTATCTATCTATCGTCTCTCTTTCTATCTACTTATATTGAAGACAAGTGGGCCATAGTCCTTTTGTGAAGAACAATAGACAACTCTGTAGAGTTGATTCTCTCCTTCCACCTTTATGTGGGCTTTGGAGATCAATCGCTGTTCACCAGGCTTGTGTAGTAAGCACATCTCTCTGCTGACTCATCTTCCCAGCCCATGGTGTCATCTGTGTTCATCAACCATGCAAACAAAAAAACAAACAAAATCTCAGTACCTATTGACATAATGGACTATGTTAATTGCTTCAGTCTGTCAGCATACACAAATACACAGCCCCCACAACTTTAATATAATGCTATGCACTGTGTGTTTGTGTTCTATAAGACCACATGGTATACCTTAAATATACAAAGCATCAAGGTCATTAATGTGTTTGAACATTTTCTTCCTTGTGGTAATATATTATTTATAATTTAATAAAGCTTGCCTGAAGGTTCAGAATGCAAAGGTAGCCACAGCCATAGAGGCCAGGCAGTAGTGGTACACACCTTTAATCCCTTGGACTTGGGAGATAGAAGCAGATGGATCTGTTAGTTCAAGGCCACACTGAGCTACACCAAATTGATCCAGTCTAAAAGAGAATAAGCTCATTCAAAGGTCATCTCAGCACTTGGGATCACACACCTTTAATATCAGCCCTGGTGAGTGGAGACAGGAGTGGTATGGCTGGGTGGAGAGAGGGGTAAAAGGCATAGGAGACAGGAACTCAGAGGATTGCCGTCAGGCTTGGTGGAGGCATTGTACTCTTAGGATTTGTGGAGACAGAATTACCCATTTCTGCCTGAGGTAGAGGTAAGAGCTAGAGTGGGTTGGCTGCTTTGTTTCTCTGGTCTTCACCTTGAACCCCAATATCTGTCTCTGGGTCTTAACTGTGTTACACCTCTTCTCAATTAAATAATATCAAAGTGATCATAATGAGTGACATATACCAAAAAATACCTCAGGGAAAAATAGTAATTTCACTTGGAGAAACTTATTCTGTAAAAGCTAGTTTGTCGAGTACAGTGAAAGGTTCTCAGATATTTCTTCTAGTAAATGAGGAAATGTTTTGTGGTTTTTGTGGTTTTTGTAAGTGGATGAAATCAGAACCTACTGTGTGGAGGTACTATACCACTGTGCTCAGTCTTTCCAGTTGCATTACAGGATAGATGGGTTTCTCTGCCCACCACTAGTAAGAGGCTTATTAAGTATAAAGTTAGAAAGGTAACAAGAATACACAGCACAGTGATGTTACTTATTAATCAGATAGCAAGCAAAGGTTGCATCTGAAGACTACTACCACAGTCTAATTTTTAATTTACCTAAGTTTTCTCTTAAACTCTTTCATTGCATGTTACTTAGAAGCTAGTTTACTCCCTATATGTTCTGATTGTACTTTAATACTTTGCCCCACACCCACATTCACTGTAATCATGCCTGTAGTCATGGGGTTAATGCCTTAGAGTTATTGTGCTTCGCTATTTACATTTCCTTTCTATATTCACAAACACTGGAGTTAGCCCTACTTAACATGTATCTGTGTTTGCATAGCTTTGTAAAATTCTGCTCTGTTCTGTACTTTTAGATTGCTTTTATCAGATCAATTTCCATTCCTGGTATGGCAGGGTTAGCAAATTCAGAGTTCACTTAGAAGTTGCTCAATGCTACTGGCTACCCTGTGTCAGGCTTTCTGGAAAATCTGACTATACCTAGCTTTGAATCTATCCTGTTTATTGGGCACCATGCTTGATGGTTAGTTTCTATACATCTTAAAAAGTGGTTTTAAATTACACCATTCAAGAAACTCAGCAATTTGGCACACCACAGATTTAACATACAGCTATACATGGCATTTTATTCTCATGTAACTCCTGATAGGACCAGCAGTGCTGAGGGAACACATGAAAAGGAGATAATGCTGAGGTTTGGGATGTGGAAGTGAGTAGTTCGACCTGATTCTTTAGTGACTAAATATGATGGAAACTTCTAGCGTTTGACAACTGGGAACATAAATGAAATCTGATCAAACTGGGTTTGCCTTCTGTCCCTACAAGATGAACTGCCAGCCATGCTGGAACATGGTCTGCCTCAGCAAGTGTGTGAGAGTTTGAGGTTAGAGCTTTGGAGAAGCAACCAAGGGAATGTCTATGCCTCCAGTTTGTGCCCTGACAGAATTCAGGGTGATTCTATCAATGAAGCAGGAGAGTTGTAGAAGTAACAACTGCATGTGAACTGAGTATGCTGCAAGGCACAAGGCTGTGGGCTACTTTTACAGATATGACAGATCTGTGATTATTGAATAAGATGTTAGGTTTGTTGTTCTGCTCTTGGTCTGACTCCATTATGGCCATTTACTGGCTTTGTCTGATGTTACTTTCTTGTTAAACCATGTTTCTCAAATTTTTAAATGTGATGGTTGGTGTTGTCATCTTGGTGGAATCTAGAATCATGTGGGAGATAGGTCTTGGAGTATGCCTGTGGAAATTATCTTGATGATGTTAATTAATGGGGGAAGACTTAACTGTGGATGGGGCCATTTCCCTCAGGCAGAGAATCCTAGCGCGTACATATGGAGAAAGAGCTGACCACTATGCATTTATTTTCCCTTCTCTGCTTCTTAAGTGTGGCTGCAATGAGACCAACTGCTTCAAGCTGCCACTGTTGTGACTTCCCCAAAATGATGGACTGCGCCTTGAACAGTGAGCCCAAATGAACCCTTTTTTCCTTAAGTTACTTTTGTCTGGATAGTTTATCATAGTGACAGGAAAAGAATCTAAGATAACAAAGTATGGAAAATAGAATAGAAATCTTTGATTAGATAAGCAACCCAGGGGACAGAAACAAGTATTGATTTAGTCTTTCTTAAAACCCACAATAGGAAATTTATCACTGCCCGAGGCACCCTTCCTGCTGAACAATAGTGGTCTGCATTAGCTTAGATGTCTTCATAGAAGATTAAGTGATCACATTGGCAAAACACAGCTGTCATCTCAAAGGAAATAAATTAAGGCAATTCTAAGTTGATGGAAACATCAGGTAGGTTGGTCACAGCAAAGTGGGGGACATTTCTGCTATAGGTCTCAGATGATATTTGATGGCAACCTTAGCTTTTAGGTTGGTAGATGTTAGTTGTCTCCCAAGTTAATACATCCCACAGGTTTTCCTGACATCTAAAACATCAAAAGAATCTTAGATACAAATCAAAGGTGAGAACTGTGTTGCAATTAAGGGTTCTGAAGATAGCTAGTGATGATTTTGGCTCTAAGCGCACCACAACCACAGAGTTCTGATTAGTCATCCAGCCTTGTAGAGTATTTAATATAGACATGGCTTTTTCCTTGGAACTTTGGTACACAACAACTGTCCAGTCTATTCTGGACTTTTGATTTTATTCCGTTTATCTATTTGTTTATCCTTATGCCAAGTCACTCTGTCTTGATAACTTTAGCTTTCTATTAATAGTAAGGGTTACACTGGTGAATTTCCTCATCAGTTGTGTTCCCTCCTACAAATGGAATCTGGACTGTTTCATAACTGATTTTATCAATTTTTATTTATTTATTTTTATTTAGATGTGTTTGTTTATGTGCCACATGTGTGTGGGTTCCATGGAGGTCAAGGAAAGGTGTCAGATCCCCTGGAGCTGGGAGTTACAGGCAATTGTGAGCTGATGAGTGCTGGAAACTTGGATTTGGGTTCTATAAAAAGGAAGCAAGTGTTCTTAATTGCTGAACTATGTTTCTAGTCCCTATCCTAACAATAAAGATCTTGTGATTTTCCCCCTGTGTGTTCCACTGTGTATACTTTCAACAATCTGTCTTGATTGGTATTTCTTTCTCCCTGTCTAATCTGCTGATGATCACATACCATGTGTTTTTTGTTTCAAATGTTGCATTGTTTTCATTTCCATGAGTACTATACTGGTCTTTTAAAAAATATTTTTTATTCTAGGTTGGTTTTTGTTTACTGTTTTAGCTGGTGTTTTCTTTCTTTCTCTCTTTTTTCCCCTCTGTCTCTGTGTCTCTGTGCCTGTCTCTCTTTCTCTCTGTCTCTCTGTATCTGTTTTTTTCTCTCTCTCTCTCTCATACACATACTACTTTGACCTCCTCAATCTCCAATCTTTGTATACTCAAAGCTGAGATGTTTTGCTCTCCTCTGTCTCCATCACCTAGTGCCTCAAACTGGAAACCTCCTTCACAAATTAAGCTGATGGAAATTGGTTGTGGGTATGGATCCCAGGAGCTGGAACATGGTAGACCATGTTTGCCAGTGAAACCATTCTAGCCTCTGGTTACTTTCCTCTCTCAAAGACCATAGCTTTACTGTCATTTGGCAACTTATGTGTCCTAGTTACCCTTCACTGTCAACTTCACACAGCCTAAAGCAATCTAAGGGAGAAATTGCCTAGATGAGATTGAGCTGTGAGAATGTCTATGGTAAATTATCTTTATTGTTGATTGATGAAGGAGAGCATCTTCTGTGGGCTGGATAAGAAAGCATGAGCCTATTAGTAAGCCAGCAAACAGTGTTTTCCCATGGTTTCTGCTTCAAGTTCTTGCTTGAGTTTCTGCCCTGACTTTCCTCAGCTATTGACTACCACTTGGAAGATGAAACAAATCATTTCATTGCTTAAGTTACGTTTGTTTGGAGTGTTTTATCACAATGACCCAAATCAGACTAGAACAATATGAAAACTGATTATTTTAGGTGGGGAGATAAATCCAGACACTATTACCCAGAAGCAGAAAATCTTTCCCCTGTTTTTAAAAAGTACACAGTTGCCTTTCTCTGGCTTGGAACATCAAAGCTCATGTATGCCTAGGAAGGTTTGGGTAATTATACACAACTGTTTTTGTCTTTATTATTTCTCTAGGCTAAAGTGTCCTCATGATTGTTCAACTGCAAGGTGCACAGATGCTGCAGATGCTGGAGAAATCTTTGAGGAAGTATCTTCCGGAATCCTTAAAGGTGATCTCAGGAAAATCTAAGGGCAGCAAAGAGAGAGCCTAACGTGTATGCTTCACTTTCCGTGTGTGTGTGTGTGTGTGTGTGTGTGTGTGTGTGTGTGAACATGTATGTGGGCACACGCATGCGTGTCGTGTTGTATACATGCATGAATAGAATATACACATGCTTGAAGAGGCCAGAGGTTGATGTTCTGTGTCTTCTTTGATCCCCCTTTACCTTATATACTGAGACAGGGTCTCTTGCTGAACTTGGAGCTCACCAATTCAGCTAGTATAGCTAGTCAGGTTATCTAGGAAATTCCCCAGTAATACCAAGCAATGGCATTACAATCAGGCTGTTAGCACTCCTCTGTGGTGATACATTATTTATGATTTATTAAGCTTGCCCGAGGATTCAGAAAGCAAAGTAAGTCTCAAGCTATAGAGATTAGGCAGTGGTGATATACACCTTTAATTCCAGCAGCCAGAAACTGAGAGGTGGTGGTACACACCTTTAATCCTAGGACTCAGGATTAACAGTAGACGAATCTCTGTGAGTTCAAGGCCACCCGGATCTACACAAGATTGATCCAGTCCTAAAGAGAAACAGCTCACACAAAGATGATCTCAACACCTTGCTTGGATCACCTGCCTTTAATCCCAGCACTATAAAGGTTGAAGCAGGATCTTCAGTAGTCAGTATCAGGCATTCATTCTCCAGTCACATAGAGGATAGGAAGACACTCATTTAGTCTCAGGATTCTCTTTACACACTGAGGAGAGGCAGCAGTCTGAGGCTTAGTGAAGCACTTGTGGATCAGCCCTATCAGCTTGAGCTAAAGGTGAGAGCTAGTGGCTGGCTGCTTTGCTTTTCTGATAATCTACTTGGTTTGAACCCCAATGTCTCTCTGTGGGTTTTTTATTTATCATGTTACACTTCTCAGCTTCTGGGTGGGTACCGAGGATCAGAACTCTGAACTCAAGTCCTCACCCTTGTGTGGTAAGTGCTTTATCCATCGAGACGAGCCATCTTCCCAGCCCCAGCCCCTGTGTAGTATTATTTTGAGCCAATCCATAGTTCATATTTTCTACCATTTAATTTACAATATTTATTTTCAATATTTACCATTATATCTGTGTCATTAGTTAAGAATATGGAGATAGTCAGGTGTGGTAGTGCATACCTTTAATCTCTGCACTTGGAAGTCAAGAGGCAGGCGGTTCTCTGTGAGTTCAAGGCTACCAGTTTACATAGTGAGTTCCCAGCCAGCTAGGGATATATAGTGAGACTTTACCTCTAGAAAAAAAAATAGAATGTGGAGATATAAAGAAGTAATTTAGACATTATGGTAGGCAAGACTGCTCAGGAGATAGGTGCTTGTCTGAATGCCTGACAGTCTGGGTCTGGTCTCCAGATCACACATGATGTCAGGAAAGAACTAAATTCTAAGAGTTATCTGATACACACACACACACACACACACACACACACACACACACACACACACAGAGTTTCTCTCTCTCTCTCTCTGTGTGTGTGAATGTAAGAATGTTTGTGTTTGTGTGCATGCATATGTATGCGTTTTAGGAAAAATATTTCCAGATTTGTGCCACTCTACAAGACGTTTTCTATAAAATGCATTTAAGATGAGTAGATTCAGTCCTTTCTTTCTCTAGCAGATTTGCTACTCCCTTTTTATAAAGAAAAATATTGGCATTCTTTTATTTGTAGATTGTTTTATTTTATTAATAATAAGCTAATGAGGGATCCAGTCCTATTACTTACATGCAATTAAATCTGCTTCAAATCAAACTACAACAAAAAGTCCATTTTAGTAAAGCCCACTGATATAAGCCAAGACCTTCTATGTAACCTGGTAATCCACAAGAACCAGGCAGTCTTCCAGACAGAAAGCATTTTGTTTTTTCCTGGAAATTGTATCATTTGACACTTTATGGACAACAAGCTTGAGTCATTTTTATGTTGAACAACTTTCTCAGAAATTCTGAAGGCTAAAAGCCTTTTTTTTTAACATGCTCTGTGATACAAAATTTTAAAATGTAAATTCCTCTATTCCTTATGTTAAAAGTGAATATCAAACATTTTGAGAAAACTCTGGGTGTTTCCCAGCAGTATTGTTGAGCCCATGAAGTGAAGTGAGGTGGCTCTCTCAACTTCTCAGATTTTATAAGAGAATACCCAACCCTTTAATCACTTAATAAAACACACATTTTCTCCTAATTAATTGAAGTCTGGAATAGTCATAAAGAAATCATTTTTTTGGTCTGAACATTTTACTCATTTTACTATATATGTTATGGTTCATATTTGAAGGCAAAAATTTCATCAACTGAGGTTGGAAAAAAGTATTGCATGAGATTGTTTGGCCTAGCTTCTTCCTTGGCTCTTTGTCTTCACCAACTGTCACAATTTCATAGGAATAAATCTCTGTCCTGACCAAATAAGGTTAATTCTTCTTAATAAACTCACCATCTCACTTCCTTGCAGGTTTATGGGACTGTCTATCACATGAACCATGGAAACCCGTTCAATCTAAAGGCCCTAGTTGACAAGTGGCCTGAATTTAACACAGTGGTTGTTCGCCCCCAGGAACAGGTAAGAAGTCATGTGTGAACAAATAGGCTTCTATGGTCATTTATGTACAATCTAAAAAACTTATCCCATGTTATATTCGGGAATACACATGTATATACATATCCATATGTATGTGTATTAACAATTAATTGGGAAAAGGCTCTAAGTTTGAAATAGAGAAGGGAGAAGTATATGGGAGGTTTTGAAGGGAGGAAAGGGAAGGGGAAATGTTGTAATTATAGTATAATCTAAAAAAGAAGGGTTGGTCTCATAGCAGCCAAGAATATAATAGTAGTTTCTAGAGATTGGGATGGTATGGGAAATTGGGGTAATACTCATGAAAAGATACAAAATTACAGTTTAAAGAGAAGAATAAGTTAAAGAGATCTATTTCACAGTATAGTGGCTAATTACATTTTATTCTGAAAATAGTGAGAAATGTAAAGTGTTCATACCAAAAGTTTCTTTATATTTTAATTAGCTAGGTTTTTACATGTCACTCGTACATGCTTACATATCTATATGTTACACATTGGCAATTTCAATTTGTTATGAACCAAATGTATGGCAATATCCCCATCAAAACACATTTCCTAGGCTGGGGCCAGACCTTAGTGAGTAAAGTGCTTGGTATGAAAGCATGAGGGCCAAAGTTTGAACTCCTTAGCCTGCTTGAAAAAAAATCATGTATGATGTTGTATGCTTATAACCTTAGTGCTGAGGAAATGAAATGGATCTCTGAGGTACATTAACCAGACAGCTAGCTTGTTAGGCATGTTCCAGGCCAATGATAGACCTGACCTCAAGAGAAAAAGATGGATGGCACCTCAGGAAGGACACCCAAGGTTCTCCTTAGACCTGCACATGTAACTACACACACACACACACACAGAGCTTGCACACACATATGTGTGCTTAGTAATCTCATAATGGCATTGTAACCATTTTAGTTTGTGTAATCACATTCTATGATGCCCCAGGGGTTAAGAGCACTGGCTGCTTTTCCAGAGGACCTGGGTTTAATCCCCAGGATGCACATGATGGTTCTTATCATCTGTGACTCCAGTTCCAGAAGCTCCAATGCCCTCTTCTGGCCTCCCTAAGCTCAAGCATGCATGAGGTACATAGATACTCATGCAAGGAAAACACCCAAACACATAAACTGTTAAAATAATATGTAAAATGTTAAAGTATAATGGAAGTATCACTGCAATCATAGACAATAAACAGTGAGTATTATCTCTCCTCTCTCCATGCTAACAGGACATGGCAGATGACCTTGATTACTACACCAACACTTACCAGATCTTCTCTAAAGACCCCCAGAACTGTCACAAATTCCTGAACTCCCCAGATGTCATCAACTGGAAACAGCATTTGCAGATTCAAAGTAAGAGCAATGGGAAATGGGTTCAGTCCCTTCTGTGTTGCCTTACAAGATTCCTATGTTCTTCTCTCACCAAGTTCCATGTATTGACATCATTAAATCTACCTATAAAGAGAAAAGTATGAAATACAGTTCTTCAGAGAAACAGAATCTATGGAATGCATGCATATTTATATATTATAAAAGGGCATTTATTAGCTTGGTTTACATAAAAGGGACTATGTAGACCAATAATGGCTATATGCACATTGGAGAGGCAGAGAACTTGGTAGCTACCTGGTCCAAAAAGCTGTGTACTTTAGCAGTCTCAGTTTGTTGCTGATAGACTGGACATTTCCTGGGGAGTTATGCGTACTGTGCTCACTTTGGTAGGCTCAATTGACCAAATCTGATATCAGCAGAGGATGGCAGCAGTGAGGCTAGTCAATAGACAATTTGGGGGCATTGAATTTTCCTCACAGCTCTCTTCATCTGGCCTGCCCTTTGGAAGGTGCAAAACAACTTAAGGGCTGGTCTTCCTCCCTCAGGCCATCTTCTTCCAGACTCTTCCAGAGGTATATCTTCTAGATGGTTATAAATCCTGTGAAGTTGACAGCTGAGGCCAACCACTACAATAATCCCTAGTCCCAGAAATGTGTGGGAATCTGTAACGAGTACTGTTTTTCTGCCTGCTGCCGCTGGTCTTGTCCTGCTGCTGCGCCAACCCCAAATAACACATAGAGACTCTGTATTTGATATTATACTGTTGACCAGTTACTACTTTCTTATCGGCTAGCTCTGGCTTAAGTATTAACCTATTTCTGCTGATCTATGTATTTTCACATGGCCTTCTCTTACCGGGGAGGTGGCTGGTGTCCAGCTCTCTCCAGACTATCTTGACTCCTCCTTCCTACTTCCTATTTCCTCCTTGTCTCCTAGTCCCTCCTATCTTCCTATCCTATTGGCCAACAGTGCTTTATTATTAACCAGTATGAGAAACATATACAGAATGACATCTCCCATCAAGAATCCTTAGCAAAAGTGGGTGCAGGATTGCAGCTTCACCTATGGAATCCCATGTCTGTAATGATACTGACAGTTTACAGTGTCACAGGGTACCTCTCAGGTTACCAATAACAACTGTCCTGATGATAAGAATGGTCTTCGAGTCAGACTCCCTGAGTTGGTATCTATCTGCTCCTCTCCATCTGATCCTTAAGAAGTGTCTTGCCCTCTCTGAGATCATAGTCTTTGGATATACCTATCAAATTAATAGGAGTTCTTAAAATATAAGACATTGGAGTTTGAACAGGAAGAACCAAATGTAATCCTGGGTGTCCTAGCTAGCCCTAATTGCCAACTTTGACACAAGCTGTAGTCACCTGGGAAGAGTTGCCTCTGTTGGTTAATTGCCAAGATCAGATTGGCTTGGAGAGCATGCCTGTAGGGCATTGTTTTGATTGCTAATTAATGGGGGGGTAGACCACTATAGATAATACTATCCCTAGACAATTGGTCCTGGACTGTATAAGAAAACTAGTTGAATGTGAATGACTGAGTAAGACAGCAAGCAGTTCTATAGCTCCTGACTTGAGTTCCTCCCCTGATTTCCTTTAATGATGGACTGTGACCTGGAAGTGTAACCCAAATAAACCCATTGTCCCAAGCTGAGTTTCATTATGGTGTTTGTAACAACTCTATGAAACTAGAACAGAGGGATAGATCAGTTAACATTTGCTATAATAAAAAACTCATAATGAAGTGAACTAACAGTTCAGTTTGGGCTTTGTAGCAGCTCATTACTGGTCTCTATTATATTTGTTCATGTACCATATGTTGATTGGAGAACAGTACATGTTGTTTCACCATATATTCCTTCAATTGTTTAGATGATGGCTCTGTCAGTTGATGCCAGATGTTGTTGGTAATGATGGTACAATGTGTCTCTGGTCAGCTAGCCTAGGCTACCTTATATGCAGTTGGTCTCAAGGTAACTAGGATTTAAAAAAAGAAATCCCAAGGCCTAACACTGCTAAGCCTCTCCTTGCATATGGTTATATTCCCATTGATCAGACAGAGTATAGAAGGGAACTATTCCAGGGAACAGATGCAAGGAATTGTGGTTAAATTCTAAACCATTGCTTCAATAATCCACCACATTGGAGATGTGACTCAGAAGATGCCGGCTATCATATTTTGTAGCTCATCTTCTTTGATTTTCAAAACTACACAATTATACAGCTTAAAAAAAACTTAGTTCCAATCTTGATCTACTCACAAAATGACTATGAATTATTCATCTCCTGTCATGATTTCATTTTTGTAAGACAGAGAGCATTATGCCAGCCATGACTATATGGCTACATACAGCAGCATCAGCATGACCATAACCAAGCTTTTATCTTAAGTTTCATACTTCCCACTCTGTTGGAGCATCCCCATCCAGGAGATATCTAACCATTACTTCTCTCCTCAGAAGTTCACTATATGTTTCCTTATAAATTCATCTAGGTTCCCAGTCCAGCCTGAATGAAGTGATACAAAATCTTGCAAAAGTTCAGTCTTTCCAAGTCAACCACTCAGAAAACATCCTTTATGCAGCAGCGGAGACAATCAAGAACCTGTTTCCTTCCCTGCTGGATACAAAGAATTTATTGCCAGGTGGTGTCAAGCTCAAGGCCATGTGAGTTTGATAAGAGGCACCTCACATCTTTGTCTTACAACCCCCACTGCCTGGCCTTGGTCTTACTCTGGTCTTTGATGCCCACACTCCAGTAGATGAACCCCACCCATGCTCATCCAAGCAACTCTGGTAAAGTTCAATTGGTCACACTACAAACACAATAGAAATGAAAGGAGAGGAATTTTTTGAGAAGAGGTTAATAGAGTGGGGAGGAGGGTAGGATGAAGGTAGTTAAGAATGCCTAAAACTAACATATGTGACACGTATCCATGGAATTATTAAATAATAAACTTTTAAAAGTTTGAATTCCAGTAGTGTCAGCAAGATAGTTCATCAAGTAAGGGCTTTTATGGCCAAGACTGACAAACTGAGTTACTGAATTCAATACCCAGGACCAACATGGCTAAAGGGGAGAACCATCTCCACAGGTTCTTCTCTGATCCCCAGTTTACATCCATACCCTCCTATTCACCCCACACAAAGTCATTAAATAAAGAAAATAAAAAATGAACAGGATAATCTATAAAAGTATAAGTCTGACCATATTCCTCTTTGTTCTCATTGTAAGAATAAAATCCTCTGTCCACTGCTTGACATTTATTATTCTTGTTCATTTCCTCCAATCACACTGCCCTTCTGCCCTTCTAGTGTAAGCCCATCTATATTCCAAAACTTTGCATCTGTTGATACCAATGTTCCACCCCTCAAGATAATAGAGGTAAGAACAAACATGCACCCTTATACTCACAGACTTTGCTTTCTTCTTGGACCCTCTATAGCAATCAAGACATGTTTAAACTTTCATCCTTGGATACCACCCATGCTTCCTTGGTGAATAAATTCTGGCTTTTTGGTGGCAATGAATTGAGCCAGAGATTCATTGAACGCTGTATAAAGAAATTCCCAAGTTCCTGTGTCCTGGGGCCTGAAGGAACCCCTGCATCTTGGACCCTAATGGACCAAACTGGAGAGATGCGAATGGGAGGCACCATGCCTGAGTACCGGGCCCAAGGTCTTGTCTCCTTTGTTGTCTATTCACAAGACAAGCTTATGAGGAAACACGGCTTTCCTGTTTATTCTCACACAGACAAAAGCAATACTATCATGCAAAAAATGAGCCATTCACTGCAGCATTTCCGCATGCCCTGTGCCTGGAACCAATGGAAGTGTGTGCCTGTGTGAAGATAGCCTTGCACACGGATGTAATTGGATGTCAGACAAGGGGTAGAGGTGACTAAAAAGAGAATAAATGGAAAGCAGATGCAAAGAAATGGTGTTGTCTGTATTCTGGGGAAGCAGGATGAATGGCTAACAGATCTTTCATAGTTCCTGTTGTCACGTTGCTCTTAGACTCCTCTTAAATTACTGGTTTTCAAGCAGGCCAGTGTCCTCCTGCACTGAACTCCGGTAATTGAGTCCCTTCTCATCTCTGGGATCTATATGACACTCCCTTGTCAATGGTACAAAGCTCCAAATGGTTACCTTGGAAGCCTGGAAGCCCTACTGCTCAACTTGGAGACTTCTGCTAATCTTACTTTCTGGCTATTGTGTATTATTCCTCTCTCTGTGGCTTTTATGCCAGTAATCACCAAATGTATTCTCCCCATCAGGTCTTAAGAAAGTAGCCACCCCTCTGTTGGCTGCCATATATATATATATATATATATATATATATATATATATATATATATATATATATATATTAAATACATTATACATGGATAATATAGTTTATCAGACACAATCTATATAAAATAGCAAAGGAAGATACTAAGGAAAAGCCTAACAGGTTTTTACCAGCTCCTTCTTAGCCCCAAGAAAAACGATGCAATGTGACTTTCAAAGGCTTGGTTTCTCAGCCTATTGTAACCCTGAAAGAGTAAATAGAGTATGTAGTTGGTTGTACAAGCATAAGCTTTATGGCTTATGCTAAGAAGAGCAGGTGATAAGTATGGAGAGTAAAATATAGATACATCTAGATAGGAACTGAGGGCAGAAAAGCCCAGCCAGGACATTTACTGTTACATCTATTCTTTTTTTAATTAAAACAATTATTTTTCATTTTATATACCAACCCCAGTTCCCCCTCCCTCCCCTTCTCCCATCCCTCACCTTCACCTTCCACCTCCATACACTCCTCCATACACCACCTCCATACACAAGGAAGGTAAGGCCTTCCTTGGAGAGTTAACCAAGTCTGGGATACCAAGTTAAGGTAAGGTCAAGCCCCTCCCCACTGTATCAAAGCTGAGCAAGGATCCCACCATAGGGATGGACTCCAAAAAGCCAGTTCATGCCTCTGAGTTAGGTCCTGGTGCCACTGTCAGGGCGCCCCCTAACAGATCAAGTCAGATAACTGTCATCCACATTCAGAGGGTCTAGTGTGGTCCCAGGCAGGTTCCCCAGCTGTCAGTCCATAGTTCATTAACTCCCACTAGCTTGGGTCATCTGTCTCTGTGGTTTCCCCATCATGGTCTTGATCCCCCATGTTCATATGATCTCTCCTCCCTCTATACACCTGAACTCCAGGAGCTCAGCACAGTGTTTGGCTGTGGGTCACAGCATCTGCTTCCAACAGTTACTGTATGTAGGTTCTATGATGAAAATTAGGGCAGTCACTAATCAGAGTAAAGGCAAAGGCCCATTCAGACACTCCACTCTCCACTATTGCTAGGAGTCTTAGCTGGGGTCATCCTTTTGGGTTCCTGAGAATTTCTCTAGCACTAGATTTCTCCCTAACCCCATAATGGCTTCCTCTATCAAGACGTCTCTTTCATTGGCCTCCTGCTCTGTCTCTCCTCCAACTCAGACTTCTTGATCCCTCATGTTCCCATACTCCATCCCCTCCCTTTTCGCCCCCCTCACAGTTTACCCAGGAGACCTCGACGATTTTCCCTTCCTGGGGCCCTCCATGTGTGTCTCTCTTAGGGCTCCCTTTTACCTAGCTTCTCTGGGGTTGTGGATTGTAGCCTGGTTATGCTTGGCTTTACATGCACTTATGAGTGAATATATACCAGTCACAGCTCTTCATATGACATTATGAACTCTAGTAAGAACAGTTATGTCATGGGAAGGCATGTTGATGGGAGCAGCCAGAAAGAGCTCCTATGTTGGGACATGTTTGCTAAGACAGTTCTCTGTCCCAGTAGCAACACTGGATAGCAGAGTACCCTGCAAGGAAGATGACATCCTTGCTTTTCATCTTTACCGTGGTGTTATGTTACAGAAATGGAGATCCAGTCCTACACCAAGTCCAATGTAATGGCTGAGGTTTAATTCCTTGGGAAGTGAAGGCACAAGAGTGTTGCTGTATCCTTCTAGTCTGGCACTTCAGTGATAGAAACTAGCCCTAAACACCCTCTGAGTGACACCTGCCCTAGCTCTGGTGAGCTAGCATCTAGTCTAATCTATCCTTTGACTGACCAGATAGTTTTTTTCCCCTTAAGTAAACTTTGTTTGGGACTTTCCCAAGAAGACAAAGGCCTATGCAAAAGTTGGTCCAGAAAACTGTGGTACGTACAAATTCAGTGTTTACACATGGCATTGTCTTTTCAAAAGTCTCATTTAAGTTGTTCTGAGCTTATAGGAATGAACTGGCTAAAGTGCAAATATAGAGAAAAATGAAAATACCCTGGAGGTAGGGAATGCACTTCAGTTCCTTGAAGCTGGAGTCCTCTGCAACCACAAAGGCTAAAATCCATTCTTAAAGTGTCTTTGAGTTTTCTTTCCACAGACCCATATGAACACACACCCACACTTTGACATCCGCGACCCTGGAGGCTCAATTGAGAGCAGGGTTTCTCTGTTTTGGTACCTTGAACATGTATCACTGTATGATCCCATATTCTGGAGGCTAAGTTGTTTGCCAGGTCCCTACCCATAGGGTGCGAGTAGCATGTTCCATCTCTGTTTTATCTAGTCCCTCTCCCTCTCTCTCTTTGTGTGTGTGTGTGTGTGTGTGTGTGTGTGTGTGCGCGCGCGCACGCGCGTGTGCACATGTGTGCATGTGCATGCATGCATGCAGGTATGTGCACATGGACGTGAGAGTGCTTTCTATTGTACTTTACCCCACATTTTTGAGACTGTCTATCACTGAGCCTGCACCTTGTCAATTCTACTAGACTGGTTGGGCAGCAAGCCCCCAGGATGCTCCTGTCCCTGCTTCCCCAGCACTATGATTATTGGTAGGCACTGCTGTACCCGGCTTTTTATATGGGGCTTGAGGATCAGATGCAGGTCTTCATGCTTACACAGCAAGCACTTTATCAACTGACCTGTCTCTGTGTCTCCCATCACCCTTTTGATAACTGGAAATATCTGCAGATATTAATGTCCCTTGGAGAATAAGTGGTCATGGGTTGGAAAACAGTGGTTGAGGGTTGTGGTCCTCCAATTTGAGCATGCTCCAGAAGCACCTGGAAGAGTAGCCAGGTGTTTGTGTACATCTATAGCCCCAAATACTCAGGGGCCAAGACCTTGGAACTAGAAAATTCAAGATTAGTTTGGGAAAAATGGAGAACCTGTGACACATTACAGGACAAAAATAAGGAAAGAAGGGAGAGGTAAGGTGGTACTGATAGAGGGGGGAAGGAGAAGAGGAAAGGAATAAGGGAGGGAGGAAGAGAAAGTTTCTTATGAATTAAGACTGTAGGCTTCAATCAGACTTTCTGTGACTTAATGATCATGGTAAGAGCCCTAGATTTTATATTTCTAATGAGTTTCCCAGTGCTTGGAAGGAGGAGTCCCAGGCAGTAGGACCATGGTACAAACTTAGTATATGAGCTAGCATGTTGAAACCCATTCCCTATGGTGGGATGCCATGCTCAGTCTTAATGCATGGGAGAGGGGCTGGGCCCTGCCCCAACCTATTGTGCCAGACTATTGAAACCCTGACCCATGAGGAGGGTTGAACTGGGGGAGGGCTAAGAGGAAGGTGAGGGGGATAGGAGTAGGTGGGGGAGCAGGAAGAAAGGTGGAAGGGAGAACTGTGGTTAGAATGTAAAATGAAATAAAAAATGGAAAAAACAAGATATATATAAAGCATAGCTGTGGTATGCCATATTTTACTATCATATCTCAGCTATGACCAAGAGTAAAGTTACAATTAAATTGTGGTGCTCTTGCATGAAAATTATCTCATATATTGTAAATATGTAAAACATTACATGTTGGAGGAAGTCCTCCTGTGTATATGTTTCTCTTATTGGTTATTGAATAAACATTGTTCAGCCAATGAGGCAGGAAGATAGGCTTGTGTAGTAGGAGACAAGGAGAATTCTGGGAAAGGTAGGCAGAGTGAGACTTCCACACAGAATCACAATGCTTCTGGAGGAGTAATACCATGCTGGGGCATTACTGGGTAAGCCACTGCCTCCTGGGTAGAAATTGGTTAATAATTAAGACAGTGGTAGCCAATAAGAAGCTAGTCACTGGCCAACAGCTTTATAACTAATATAGTATGTGTGTTTTTGGGGGGACTCAAGGGCAGCAGGACCTGCCAGGCCAAGAATCTCTCATTACAATTACAGATTTATAACCTGGATAAAAAAATAGTACAGTGAGTTGATTTTTCTGCTCTAATAGTGATTGTTCAGGGGACATAGTTAACTCCAGGTGACATTTGGTAATGCTTAATAGAATGTTTGGTTTGTCATAAGTCAGTTAGAGTAGAGGGAGGAATGTTCTTCCAATTATCTTGTAGTTAGGAATGGAGAATAGAGCTACACACACCATAGTGCACAAGATAGTACCTCATGACAAGAAACTATCATGCTTAATAAAATTAATAATTCCTAAGGTGAGAATATTTCTCTGGCATTTAGCATAAATTAGCATGACAAATTTTTCTTGGAGAAGAAATGCACCATTTCAGCTTATTGAGACTAATATAGTAGCATAAACTAGTCATGTTTACCAGATTCATCTCCAGTGAATTGACTGAAGATGCTAAATGTTATTTTATTATGGCAATATTTGGGAATTTGGGCGTTGTTCTTTCCAAACTACTTCCTGCTGGTAAGGGGCGCTGTCATGGGGGGATTCGAAGAAGATTCAGAAATCCTGGCTGTAGTCTGTAAGGCTGCTTTGTCCAGCTACTTTGAATGTAGGATCACCTCGTACTCTGTTTCAGGTGGTCTGGCGTGATCAAACCACATTAGTCTGGAAGGAATCCACATCTTTTCATTTTCTGTGGAAACAAAAATAGAAATCCTTTTCCCCCAAAGAATACAGGGATGGTTTAA